GCGTGATCCAGTGTCACTCTGTCTTGAGCTATGCCTGACCTTTACAAGTGGCAATGCAGTGCGATACGCTCCATACTGTCTTTGACCCCATGAGCAAGATGCATGGCGTATCCAATACTGGCCACATCTCCTTACTTATTTACATTTATTTGTTTGCTTTCATTAATTCTCACAACACTTCATTAGAGGCCGACATGAATCGCCTTGGCAAACCCAATCCTTTTGTTGCCAATGTCGTGAATGTTGCAATAAGAGCGGATCCACGGGTCACCAAGAATCCAAGCTGGACCAAAACCGTTCGACTCTATTTCGAAGAAGGTGATCACACACTGAAAGAAGGGAAACATGAGGCAGATTATAGTCTCTTAATCTAGCGGAGAATGAAACAGCCTGACATAATTAAAGGAATCTTCCTCGGAAAAAGCTCCGCCCTCATTACCACAGAAAACGTGATCATTTTGTCTTGTGTGTAGGATTAGTATTATCGAAACTAACGCTTATGTTCCGTTCTTTTTGCTATGCTCATGAGGCCTAAGGGGCCTTATCGTTTTTCTGTGGTAATGGAGGCGGAGCTTTTTCCGCGGAAGATTCCTTTAATTTTATAACTTCTGTAAGTACTTTCAAATCTAGCCACTGAATGTTTTCTGAAACGTTTTCCCCTCATACTAACATAAGGCAAATCTTGTTTTGCTTGAACGGTTCTCACTTGCCTATCCTGCTAATTGTAAAGTATTCACCCTCTTTCCAGTGCTGAAGCGCAAGCCCCACATATCCTTTCAGGAAAAATATGAAACACTTCTCGGTAAGTAAAGACGCAAAGAAATTGACCACCCGAGTGATGGAGGGCCACGCGTTCAAGAATTTTCTATTGCACGGTGAGCGTGTGGGTGAAAAGTGAAGTGCGCGATCGGTTCGTCACAGAAACACGCTCTCCTCATCCAGAACGACTGCATTCAGATCCTCGTTCTCTTGAGCATTTGTGGTTCTATTGATAGTACTCGAATTCATACAAAACGCTGATACTTTTTGCGTGTTAAAAACTCTCGAAGTTTAACTTCAATGACTTGAAAACAGCGGCATCCCCAAAAGGGGGGCCCAGCCGTTACAATACGTCATTTGGTGGTCAATATAAATACATAAGTATGAATAAATGCAACACAGTCAAAACCAGAGTAAACAGCACCTTTGAAACAGTGATTTTGATACGTATGCGCATCCGCTGCAGCTAGTAATTTTTGGCGACCTGTATACATAGGGGCTTTAGTCTCAGATTTCTTTGTTAAAATATCTTATGTATTTAGCCAAAGAGTCAAAAAAGCCTCTGAAAGCTCAAAACCGCATTACTTTATGAACAATGTAATAGTTTCGGAAACGCTACAGCCAGCGGCCCTCACTCAGCTCCAGGACAAATTAAATTTGTTCTCGCCCCGGGTGGTTTGCTAAGACAGAAAGCGACTTTTTCGCTTTCCACGAAATTTTGCTGCAGGAACCCCAGGCACTCCACTGATCAGCAGTGAAACTGGAATTCTCGCAGCTAAAAAGTTTCGCGCTGCGGAAAACAGTCAAGCCTTTTTCTGTCCTAGCAAACCACAGCCACTTGTCCCTGCAAAAGTTGCCCGCGACGCTGTAATCTAAACTTGCCTGCTTGAACCTGCGCTCTGAGCTGTCCCTACTGGCTTTTATTTCCTTACATCTCAACGTTTGCGTTGCTGTTAACAGAGTGGCATGTTCTATTCTCTACCTCATCCCACACTAACTTGTGGACACGCGCATAGCACAGTTAGGACCCATGACACTGGCGCTATGAAGTCATAACCCTGACAAAGCCACAGAATGCCCTTATTAAATGTTTCTTACGAATTATCCTCTTTTCTGCGCACCTGAGCCATTGTCCAGTTCTCTTCAAGCCAGCATAGAATATGAAAGGGTCTATTCCAGTTAGAAGGGGAGGGCATCATGATGCAGTTTCTCGGCGAACTAGTGTGAACTCGAACATTCCAGCTTTTCACGCATGTCAAGTGACTGCCCTCACCCCCACCCCCTAGACTGGCTACACTTCCCCCTGGCTCGGAGTTACCCTAGCTTTCTGGAAAAACTGCATCACGATGGCCCACTACTGAATGACGCTGAAGAATACGATTATTCAGGACCCTCACGTTGAGCAAACATTTATTCTGGAACATAACAATTTATTTCCAATATATTTACACAAACAATACCCGTAATAGGAATAAAACACAATGTAACAAAAGAGGTGAATGAAAGTAATGGCATGATGAGGGCACTGAAGAGTTCTAGGAAAGCGTAGAGCACATTTTCTACTGACACTCGACGCTTTTCTTCCCGTGGTCGGGAAATTGCGTCCGACGGACTGCGATCAGGGACCCAGGGCGAGTCTACTCGTGCCCTTTGTAGACAGTAAAACTCTTGACGGAGATCCGATGCGGTGGAACCGTGCACGTACTGCTACCACTGTCTGACTGATCGCCGTCAGCTGGTGCTACCGTACTGAAATTAAAAAGTTGGGTTTTTTTACATTTCATATGGTTCCTCTTAATGCAAACGATTATTCAATTGCAGGGTCCAATTTAGCATAACCTTGCTAAAACATCCTCCATTTTCTTGGAGATATGTACACCCAATGCATAAATGTGATCAATTATTTCACTGCAAAATACCCGTAAGGAGGCTGCGAGGGTTCGAAAGTAGTTTGGCAGGGAAGGAATATGAGCACAACTGAAAACTAGAAAAAAAATCTCAAACCCATTCACTATTATGAGGCCTCGAGTTTATCTACCATCTTAGGGCTCAGCTGTTGCGTCCTCACCCCCCCCCCGCCCACACATGAACCTCGTTTTTTTTTTGAACAAGTAATTTTGTAGGAGCATGTACATCATAAAATGCGAAGCTCACAACATTATCCCCGATGTACGCAGTGGAATTCCTATAGGGAGCATCAGTTGCCAGGAAATCTTTGTTAAGGCGAAAGATTACGATGAAGTGTGTGCAGCATGGAAATACTGCACCAGTCAAGCAGTAGCTAGAGGCCAAAGGAATCGAGATGTAGCCTTTTTGTGGCTAAAGGTGCGCTTGTTGCAGCGCCCTGGGTCTATTCAATCCTTTCTGAGCTCCGCCCATCAGTGTGTCGTCAGCTGCATCATCGTTCGATTAAAAAAGCTCCGCCGAAAATCTTACAGCTAAGGGTGCCTCCTACAGCTCCGTCGTCGTTTAAGGTCAGGTTTGCCGACACCGCTAATGATTTTCCAGCCCCTAGGACTTTTTTCTTGTAATTTGAAAAGGTATTTGAATGATTGGGTTTCACGAATATGTTCGACTTTCTTTACAGGCTCCGAAGAAGGCGATTCAGCCGAAACGTCAGTCAAAATAAAAGTCTGTATCAATCTCGGAGGCTGCATAAGAAAACAAACTTGAATACCGTTCGATTATCATTTTGATACTTCGAGCGCTACAAGTCTCCTATGAAATCGTCAATCAGAGCATGGTTTGTGCTGGCATGACGGTGGCTGTCGTTTCAACGACTCGACCATTGTTGGAGGTCAACGGGCAAAGAGAAGGGTCCCATTTTGCGCCTTTTTGACGGATTTCTTTGCTTTTTTCGCCACTGGGGCATTATTCAGCATCTCCACTTCCACTATGAACCCAACCCAATCCTATCGTAATCTCTCGCTTTAAAGCGAATGCTCCGGATGCACCTCAAACCGCGAGAAGTGTGCTTGCTTTCTACCTGTATACAGATTGTAGCAGGGCCTTTCTATCCCTGCTTGGTACATCTGAATTCCCATGTCCCATGCACATGCTCACAAATTGCTCGATGGAAATATCAATGTATAAACTAAAGATCTGGAGAACGTCTTTACCTCTACCGCGAAAGCAGCAGAGCATAGCCGTGTGAAAGGAAGATTGACTGGTTCGGTGCTAAGTGCTTTTAGGAGCACTTCCTTGTTTTATCCGTTTTAAGCTGAACAAAAAAATGTTAGTAGGAGATTTTTACATTAGAGAGACGGGGATTTTCGGGGAAATGCCGTAGGTAGGTGGAAGCGTGGCGTAATAAATTTTCAAACTGTGCCCACTTAAAGTGAGTCGATGGGTACATATCTCATGGAATGCAATACGACTAACCCAGTCAAACCCCTGAGCAAACCAATTTGATTCGACTCCACAATAAGGGTAAGTGGTTTTGTATTAATTGAAGTCTTTTGACGTGTGGGAAGCGCAAAGTGAAGGGGGTGGCTCTAAATTTGTCTCCCTTATGATTATATTAGGTTGTCGGAAAAGTCTTTGCGCATTTGGCAACTTTTTTTCAAAATTGTTTTTCTTCTTTAGTGCAGCCAACAATTGCTGAATACATACACCATAATCGTCGAAACATTGCTCTTCAGCAGGCAACTTCAGGTTGCCGGCCGTTCAGAAATCCCGAGTCTTTGGGGCGAAAAGCTCAAAGAGGACTCCGAGTAGGTCCGGATCATCGGACTGCCCCTATTTCAGTACCTTCGACGGCAACAGAGGCGTATGGTAGCCTGTCTCTACCAGGTTTGCTGTACACACTAAGTGGGTCAGATCATTCCATAACGAGCTTGGAGACCTTTTCCTGAACCTTCTTCGTAATTCGTGGGCGAGCGTTGCCGACATAAAGTAAAGTTTCTGATTTTCCGGGCACCATGCCGGGAAACCAATCCACTTGCCAACATTATTGTTCACCAATAGCAGTGGACTTCGTTGGCAGCTCTCCGTGAGCGAAACATTTGCAGCCTCATGAGCTTTCAAAGTTGCCTCCCAGGTTACTGTTCTCGAATCGGCGTGCAATCCTTTGTTCTACGCATCCGAGCCAGTCGTGCTTTCGCGTGCGGTTTATCTGAGGATCCCACTTCTTGACACCACCAACAAAGTTGGCGGATCAAGCGATAGACGGGCGGCAAATCAAAATGTCTTGCAAAATTTTATGGTCTCAATAGCCTGTGCCAGTCAGGCCATAATTTCACTTCTTTTTGAGGCGATACTGAGGAGCGGCCATTGTGTCGTGACAACACTGAAAAGCTCTGGCAGCTCCCTTGCATGGCACCAGGAACCCTTCCCAGTCGACTTCAGAGCCGTTCACCAGCAATGCTCTCCAATACACTCTTTGTTTAGTGTAAGCTTTCGAAACGATTCCAAAAGATTTTGCAAAATGAACAAGAAAATGCGCAAGGACATTTCCGGCCACCTAATATATGCCAAACTGAGCTTAAATGGGTGAAATGGAAATGTCAGGCAGCCTGCCATAGAGTTTGGTTGTCTATAATCCCCTACTAGGCTAACGCAATGGCCATTGTTAGTGGTTAATTAAGGTTACTGTTTAATAGTCCTGACGCAACACAACAGACTAGGCTTTTCAGGAACACACTGCGTTTGAGTTGAATCTGAGCCATTCCATGGGTGCATCAAAATTTGATTTGCCCATCTGTTAATTGTGCTTTCAGGAATCTTAACTCTCCGTGTTGTACCTAGCCCCGAAGTTATGGCGCTCTGTTCTATTTGGGTCATGAGCCCATCGAAAACGTCTCAAAATATTTTCAAATTCACACTTGTACCAAAACCGTGAAGAATTTTAGACAACCGAAAGGTCAACTGGAAGAATTACAGGAAAAATAGAATTCTACCTTCGACCGCACTTCCGTCGTAGTGAGGTGAGCATAGTAAGGAATACCGGAAGAACGATCAGACCATGAATGAGTCCAAATATCGACACCAAAGCAACAGTCTGTAAAAGAGTGTTAAAAGTAGTTTTCTCACAAAGTGACGTGAAATTAAATCAATAAAATAAAAATAGATCTTCCGTACTGACAAAAGCATCGAAAGATTAAGGCCCAACAATCAGATGCGTTTAAAGTCTGACTGAGCTCTCGCGCAGTTACAGTGCGGCACCAATGATGTGCCGGCCACCCTATTGAACTACTGCACCATAATAGCATCCGAAATTTTTTTGCGAGTAAATCTGAAAATTTTGAAGGAACCCCTGTTGGAGAAAACCTATCTACTTCTAGAATTTCTTGAATTTTTTTCTTCAATAAATGCTCGAGGCCAATCAGTGCTATGCAACATTCAAAATGAAGTGAGGCTTCGGGGCAGCACAATTTTGAATAAATCATGTGTAGAAACAAAACGCCCCCTCCTGCATAAGTACGTCATTTTTGAAGACCAGCTTCAGCGCACATGGCTCCATGCATAGAAATTAAGCTTCCGTAGAGGAACAAGCTTCTAAAATAATACTTTGAGGGCAGATACAGACACAGGGGCGGAGCCAAGTAGGCGCTCGGAACGTGGGCGGCGGCCTAATAGGCATTACGTCGGTAGTAAGAAATCAAATTGACACCCACAACTGGACAGTGGGGACAAAACGTTACAAGGCGATAGATTAGGATGCAATATAGGAGTTCTGCCAAGGTAATGAGATCGAATGGGTCTCGAAAAAAAAAGCATTCCCGCCTTTAATAGTTGTGACAGTTGTGCGGCGGGAATTCGAACCGATAATTGCTTCGTAGTTTTTCGGACATTTCAGCATGACAATTGAAGTTTTCCTTTTTTTTCGATTTTATGGAGATTCACAGGTCTCAATCTACCGATTAGAGTAGATTAAATTGCGTAGTTTCTTGGCACGATTCCTTTAACACTGCGCCATAGCCTAGCGCACCGTTTATGCATTTATTATTGCTGCGGACGGCCGACTTAATCCAGAAAAGACCTTACAAGCCGTAGAAATGACTCCTACCGGAATTGGTGTTCAGAATAAGCAGATGTAAAGTTGTAAACATCATCAAATGATAGGAATGATAAAAACTGAAGCGTTCACGTCAGTTTTTGAAATGAGTCGTTCGCGCTCACCTTCAACTCGAAATTCGTCAAGTGCACATAAACACGGTATCCGTCCTCAGCTAACGAGTTCGAGCTAATGTGTAGACCTCAGGGAATTGTGGCCAAGGTTAAGTTGGCCAGGTGGATAGTTGACTTGTGCTTTTGGCTCTGTGATCGCGACTTGACGTGTTGGCGCCTTTTCCCATAGCAACCACTTCTCACACAGCACTCTCTCTCACAAAATTGCGAAAAAGCTCTGTCCATTGGCGCCAATTTTGAGACATACCTTGAAGAACACCATTCCAAGATAACTCGGCTTGATGAGAACTGGTAACATTGCGAAGAATGTACTCAATCCGCCTTGCATCGTCGGCCATCCAATGTTCAAAAATGCGTCTTCCAACTTCTCAAGCGGTGTCTGCAATATTTTGAGGTATTTTTTTTCTATGTTCGAAGAGATTGCTGCCAGTCAGCCACAATGATGTGAAAATGATGTCGTTAGCAGATCAGCGATTCTTACCGGCGCTTTCACTTGGTAGTAGTGATAGCTGATATGAGCAGATATGTCGACACTGAATCCGATGGACATAAGTAGAGAAGCCATTGAGACTGGATTGATGCCGACACCCCATAAGGAAGGAGAGAAATCCAAATACCTGAACATTCTGTTGATGACGATTGCAAACAGGGAAAAAGCTGTACATTGTTGAGAGTGGATCCATCATTGTGAATTGCGCGCGGCGGTCGCGGCACGGTCAGCTCCACTTGTGCCTTTTTGCGACAAACCATGGTCATCTCATGCATATAAGTTCGTGAATATTTCTCATTAACTCCAGAGCCTCACGGTCAGAAATCGAAATGGTTAATGCTCACCAAGCACCTTTTACGCATGTAGCTTAACAATGCGCAATGTATGTGCACCGCCAGGGTCACCGCCAGGGTGCTGCACCCATTAGCAGTCCAAATTTGTGAGCCATGTGGGAACATGGCACCTCGCGGGGTAATCACAGCACGGCTTGTGCCATTGTCGTACTCGACATTTGCTTGGCGGTATTAGCGATGTCAACGCGCTAAAACTGGTCTTGCAGGTAGGTGCGTTGTAGGCGGTGACGTCTTCTTACACACCGTGCGCTCCGACTAGTGGCCGAAGCGTGCCCGCGACCGCGCGCGTCAGCATGATCGACTAAAGTGGGCCCAAGTGGGCTAAAAGATACTCACACCCAGATTGACGCTCAGCAGACTGAACATAGCAGCAACGATAGACACCACATCTGGTATAAAGACGATGAAAGAGATACCCATACAAATTACTTCGGAGTAAAGTGTTTGCCAAATGACGTCACCAAGAGCATCTGTCTGAAAATCACTTGTGATTAGTTGTTATTGTTTTTGACAATATTAGTCTGAAGTTTGTAGAGTGGACGTTTAAAGCTCTATCTAATATTCAAATAGTAAGGTCACCTGATCGGCATAGGTGCTGCGTTCTGAATATGCGTATACTCCAAGATCAGGATACTTGTTACTGATTGCACGCCATTCTTGAATTAGTGGAAACATCTCCCTGTAGCTGAAAAAGTGGCAGGTGAAATTTTCGTCTGAACATTGATCAGCCTCTCCAGGATACGCCATGCAATCGGCCTTCGTTCGAAATAGCCAAAGGCCAAGTTGAGCTATGCAGGGAATCATGGTACAAGCCCACACCTAGCCTGATATTTGAGAGTTTTCACTCCTACTCTCAAACGCAAAGAGCGTCTAGTGCAGACCACACACCGCAAGTGACGACGGCCAAGAAAAAAAGAAAAAAGCCACTTTTCTCTTGGCCGTCGTCACTTGTGGTGGGTTTTCTGCACTCGACGCTCTTCTCCTTTTCCAAATAGAGGATAACTTCTTTGGTCATTCACCCACTCTTGAAGGATGACCACCTCAGTTGCTTTGTCAGCTTACGAACTATGGTGCGGACAGTTCTTGCAGCTGCCACTGGGCTTTACGACAAAAGGATAAAGGATAAAGCATTTGCCGTTGATCAATCCCTTTTTGGGATGCGGCACGCATTCTACTTCCATTTGTACATTCGTAGTGGCGTTTGAATGCGATGTGGCCTATACAATGACTTGCGGGGCCAGCCGATGTACAAGTCAGTGTTTTTATCCTCCCAGACAAGTCTGGTACCAATTAACCGACCCCGGAGGGATGGAAGGCTTGGTTGGCCCGGGCGACTCACGACCCAGGATTTGATCCCCGGACCGCTCGCGTGGTAAGCGTGCCACTTGCCACTACACCACTTCCGCCCTTCACGAAAGTGGGGAAAAATGACTCGGTCAAATAAATCTTGTCCATACAATGCCATAACAAGAATTCTTACCTTGACAGTGTCGTAAAGCCTGTGGTGAAGAGGAACGATGTCAGACATAACGGTTCATTCAGAGCGCATGCGGTCTCATTGATTCGCATTGTACCTCTCCAGTAAGAATCCGAGTCGAGGAAGTCGAGAAATGTGGGCGTAAGGTTGAAGCGCGACTTCCCTGAAAGACCACAGTTCTGGGAAAAGTTCCTAATGACAAGGACTATGGTTGACAATTGGGGGTCGTCCTAAACCAACCTGGTCTTTCTTCAACTTCTCGGAACATCAGGAAGTCCATGTAGGGTTTCAAGAAGCAGAAAGTCGATTCGGGACCATAGCTAAATAGGACTTTGCTGGTCGATAAATGCTAGTGGAACGGTTGGGGAAACAACGAATTTAGGGCCAACGGGACGGGGAACTATGACGGGAGTTTTCAGTCTTTAGGGAATCGAAATGGGAATTCCTGAAAGGTCATTCGATGGAAAACTAGCTGTTATTTGGGTATGCGCATAGCGAAAACCAGGGTTGGAAACGGTACAAAACAATGAGATAGTAAGCCTGTTGCCGGCATCGTGTGTTGAACGAGTCTAGCGACGTGGTATAGATACCCGCATAGAACATGTTGGGCAATAGAGGTGGAATTCGCTCCAGTAATGTTTCTTATGAGTATGCTCAAGAGATTTCTGGTTTTGAAATAGTTTTCACAAGATTTGGGTTGTGAACAAAACTTTCGCCCCAGGCGGGACTAGAACCCGCACCTCTCGCTTTCCGGGCAAGTGCGCTACCAGTTACGCTACCGGGGCACCATTTCATTCCAACTCAGCTTTTCATGGTATACTTACCATAGCTTGTCAGCACTCACACTCAACAGCACAAGTCAGTATAACGCGTTTGTTACTGTTTTTGTATACCATGAAAAGCTGAGTTGGAATGAAATGGTAGCGTAACTGGTAGCGCACTTGCCCGGAAAGCGAGAGGTGCGGGTTCTAGTCCCGCCTGGGGCGAAAGTTTTGTTCACAACCCAGCATTCTTGTGAAACATTCGCAAGGCGAACTGCGGCCAAAAACAGCAGTTAACAAACAAAAACAAGTCAATATTCGCTAAAGAATATAAAAAAAGAGTAGTGGGGATCTGAGGGAGGAACAGCAGCGTGTAAAATATCTAACGGAAGCAATTATGAAGTTACCAATAATATTTCTACGCCTTGGAAAAGTGATTACTGCTGAACAAAAGCATAGCCGTACCTGTAGCTAGCGGTTTCATAGTCTTTGATCATGTTGCTCACGTCAGCGAACCTCTTCGAGTCCCGCAGATCACCTGGTGTTGTCACCACGATTGCAGCGGTTTGCATTCCCTGAACAGATGGAGCATGAATTTTGACTAGTCAATTTTAAGAACTTATAAAGAAAATTTTTACAATAACGAAATCATATTTTCTCCCCTCGTAATGCGAACAACAAAGAGTCATGTAAATCGAGCCATATGACTAGTTTTGGAAAGCCTAAAAAAACGAAAATCTACGCTCTGACTTGAGAAGACAATTGATGGCACTGCTGCTTCACCCGCTTTACAGCCCCTCCCTTAACCCTAACTCCCGGTCTTCAAGCGTACTGATAGCCCGCCGTTAAAATGCTTATTTAGTTGTGTTTGATGACAGCCACAAGAGCAGGCCCTTGGAGGAGAGTAGCCGAGTATCCAGTATCCTACTTACTATAAAGCGCTTCGTCTGTCGTCTGTCTGTCGTCGTCTGTCGTCTGTCGTCTGTCGTCTGTATGTCTGTCACGAAATTCCCTAGCTCCTCGGGATTCACCTGCATCCGTATGTCTGTCACGGAAATTCCCTAGCTCCTGGGGATTCACCTGGAGAGACCGGGACAAATGTGGGTTGGGTGGCCCAGGTCTCGAGAAGTATAAAACACACATCAGCTAAGCGGAGCCCCGCCCACAGTGGGCGTGGCGTGCGTCGAGATGAAGTGTACTGACGACCGTGATAAGCCCAGTTAATGATACCAGTAAGAGGTTGAGTTGCGAAATGGGCGTACAGTATATTAAGCATATAATAGCTGTGGAGTTATTCGGGAAAAAGCCGAAAGTCATGCCATCGTTCGGACGTTTCGATAATGATGAGATGTCCAAACAGAGGGAGATTTCCAAGGTAAGGACCAGTTTTTACTGATACATTATTAATTAATTTCTGTGGGTGCAACGTGGTTTATGACAGGAAATTTAATTTGGCCTGTATAATCATTTATTTAGCTGTCAAATAAATAGAGTAATTATCTCAAAGATCTCCGTACTTGAACGCACCCTGATGACTTCGTCATAGCGCACTTTGAACTGAACAATGCGTGCATCCGGTGGTGCGAGCGTCTGCACGGCCAGATCAGTTTCAACAATCGAGATACCGTAGTATGTTACTATCCAGTAGCAATGAGAACCTATAAATAAGTAAATCACAACAAAATACTCAAAAGGTAGAATAGGGTTCACTCTATGCTAATTACCAGTATAGTAAGAGCTTGCATCCATGCTTTTCCAACAATTCGAGCAAGACCTTTCCAGGCACGATCATGGAATATTCCAGCTTTTTTGATGCAAGGCAACTCTTCAGGCCAGACACATGCTTTTCTGAATGACCAGTTAGTAGAAACTTTTTCAGTGGCCATCCTTTAACTCTTTCTCAGCAGTGAAGAATTCTCTTACGTATTGTGGCTGTCCGCTAGAGCTCATTTCAACTCGATCAAATCCATTCCAAAAGCGCGGCTCCCATAAGGGAAGCTTTATATATGGCTGTGGCAATCGCACGCCTGGCGAAGGTGATATACTTCTAAATATCGCGGAAGATTTTGAAGGAATTCTCATTCAACTGTTCCTGGGTTTTTTGAGCTTTTTTTGCGAATTTCTGGAATACTTGGAATTTGTGAACTCTTGGAAACCTATTGGAGCAAATTTTGGGTGCCTCTTTGTACTGTTCCATATTTGGTAAGGATTTCGTTTCAATATGTTTTGATATTATAAGGAGGGAGAGGTGGTAGCGAGTAATTTGATTTTTTTCTAGGCGCACGATCAAGAATTCGGCTAGGATTCCACCCAGGCCAACTATTCCACTGCCCAGTTGCTACTTATTGCCAGAAGCGCTGAAAAGGGTAGAAAGGGTGCGGAATTGCTCGGCAGTTGGCCGCCCAAGGCATCTTGTAAAAGTGAAGCACAGTCAAATGCTCTACGATCCCGCAGATGTAATGTAGATGAGTGGTCTGCGCACTCCAGAAAGGATTTGTGATGATGATCTTTTCTTCCATTGTTAAGTCTCCTTCAATACCCAACCTAAAGTTCTTTTTGGCGGTCCAGTGTGCCGTATCCTACAGCATACCTGCTTTGTAGTAATTTCGTAAGCCCAGCGTGTATATCGATAGGACTCTCCACACCCTTATACAACTCGCAATTAGTCGCTATCACCCAAAAATACTTTCCAAATAATCTAATATTTACTCTCGCTCGTGCTACCAGGAACAGTCCCCACTTGATTGCTAATGAGAGACTGTTTGGTTACAGTTCAGTTCAAACTTCCTTCGCACCGTCACGAGTGATCCGATCAATAGCGGTTATCAATAGCCGAATCAAGTGATAGAATCGACAGGAAAGGATGATAATTCTAGGGTCAATGCGCATAAAGAATGCTCGTTAGCGGGTCACATTCGATTTGTCGTGATAGCGACAAGGGTCGTATTCAGCAATGTCAGTGTCACCGTACTTGACCGTGGCCGACAGCACCATTATAAGGATTTAGAGAGGATTTAGAGAGCCTTTAGAGAGGATTTCGAATCAAAGGGATCACGGAGCATGGCCAACGGGAACCATGATTTTTTCAATGCGCCAACCAAAAAATATTAGAAAATCCTCTCAGAGTGTAATTCGAAAGTCCTTACTCCCTTTCGACAGTGTTTGAGCAAATCCTTCCGAAATTTTGCTCTCAGCGCTTAGCATTATATATTTTATACTTGTCAGGAAGGACATTATTCTCGAGGATCAATAGCCGAACAGAATGTTCGATAAACTCTTCGAACAGGATTTGAAAACAGACACTTACTTCGAACCGTCGTCAATTGCTTTGTACTCCTTGTGTGCCGTTAAGGTGAGAATTGCCGGGAAGAGTATTAGCTGGTAAAGGTAACAAATCACACTGGCAGCAACCGAATAGATGGCGAATGTCTGAAAAATAATGCTACTTCATAGTGAAAGCGAAAGCAGTAGCGGACGCCTGAGCAATGGTAACGCCGACAGTTATTTTAGACCCGGCGGCATTAGAAGGCAGGTCAGCGAAGCACTGCGGCGATGGGGCTTACAACTGGTACAATACCTATTAAAGTGACACGGAATCACCTACACGTACGCGCTGCGACTCGTCCGCTGACTCTGCCTTCCTGCCGCGCGACAAGCCTCTTGTCGGGTACCCCTGAGTAAGGCTGAAGTAGCCGTACTAACCTGAAGAGCCGGCGTGCTGGACAAGACACCGTTTCCAAACGAGATTAAATTGGTGATTGAAAGTGACAGTCATTGAAGAGCCGGAAACCTGTAGCACGGTAATGATTAGAACGTTTTTACACCTTTGAAATAAAATTGAGTTGTTGTAAATAAACTCGAAAAACAAGCACAACGAACTGGACCATCTCAGCTGTACGCTTCGGTATACGCTACTTCTCAAGTACTAATGCCATGCCCGCCAGCATAAATTAAACGTCATCAAAAATACCTGAAAATAGCTTTCGCACATCTTAAACTCCTCCATGTATTCATTTATTGAAAATAGAGTCGGAGATGAACTATGATAGCCCGTCTATTACTGTGCACCTATTTAGCGTGATATTATATACTCCTTACGAGGAATGGAACTCTTATTTCGCTCGTTACTCCGCATCGACTCTGATCGTGCTGCCTCTTCAACGCCAATGCTCTCTCCGTTCTAAACGGCTAGAGCCGATAGCATCGCCGGGATGGCCATGCTAGATCGCGCGGCATATCGTTTGCAGCGAATTGCGTGCCGGCCGCACCACTTGAGGGTCCGCTTGTTTTTTCACTAGGCAAGTTTCCCCTTTTCTATTTTCGACTTGATCGTGGAATTCTCCTTCAAGTATCGATGTTGAGACCACTTCCCAAATTGACTCCTTTTTCCCACTAACACCCGCTTCATTTGCCTGTACACGTTTAAGAAGGCAAAAACACATTATTGTGTATTTCCACCGAATTCATTGTGTAGCTACACCCCCGTCCATTCCATTCCCGCCTGGATCAAGTGCATCGCGCGTTATGCCACTGTGACGCTTCGGCCGGATGCCAGACCACTTCGCAAATGAGGTCGATTTCGGAAAAATCTGATTTCGGCCTCTGTGCTCTGTCATTTCGAGGGCGAGCAAATTGAGGTCTACCCCACTACCACATGAGCTCATTCAATTAGCATCAGACGTCTTCAGTAGTTCAGTAGTTAAAAACAAGGGTTCACTCGGACAACTACTTTTCGCAAATCAAAGCCAGTTGCATTCAGGTCTTCTGGCCAGTTCTGAAGACGTGTCCATGCGTGGCACCTCTTTAAAGGCAAGATTCGGGATAAAATAGGTGTGGAAAAAGCGTTCAGTTATGAAGCTATAGGTGGGAGGTGGTCTGTAAAAGAGAAGGAAAGCAAACGAAACCACCGATTACCCGTACAGAGACCTCCCCTATTTCAGCCACATTCCACCTTGGGATAGAGAAGAGGCGAATTGGACGAGTTTCACGAACCTAACTCTACTTGCTCCAGTGTCAATAACATTGGATCGCGCTGGGACCACTGCCTCAAATGCGCCCGCGCTTTTCAAGCAGCGCCACGTGGCAACCGACAGCGAAGGGTGGGGCTTGCGGACGAAGGTGTGAGTTGCGGGTTGGACGAGCTCCTTGCGCCTTTGTCGCGTACTTTCAAGCCGCAAAAGGGGCCCGACATCACTTGTCCACCTGCTACTACCCCCTGGATAGAACAGGCGCGCTCCTGCCCCTCCTTTAAGTGATGGCGGATTTTACAGTTACTTCTGAGCATTACACAAAAAAACAGTCTTCGCTCTAAACATCGCACTTCCAAAAAACATCTTCTTCTTAAACATGGATTATGGACGACTCACCACAGTAAGCCCGTTATCCTATCTGATAAATACACTCTGATCTCTTACCTATTGCAAGTACCAGGAACAAAGTGCTGACGACGATTGACTGAAAGGCAAGTCCAGTGGCAGACACTAGTCCCACAGTTGCAACTCCAGCTAGCAAAGGTGTCACACCGCCGAGCAGCGCCTCCACTGGTTTAGACTCCCGTCGCTTGTACCTGAACAAGTACTGGATGAGTGTCCAAAAAGTTCGCTTAAAAAAGGAGACATCACGAGTTGAGGAATTCTAATATGGTGAAGGCGGGGATCGAACTTTCAAAAGAGGTTTTCAACGAAACTGGAGACTTTTCAAAAACTCTGGAGAGCTTTGAAAGGATTCTGCTGTGTCCGTTTTTGTATGTACCATAATATAACCACATTTTATGTTCATAGAATGAATAAATCCGAGAGCTCTGTGGAGTTGTGGCGAACTTGCGAGCACAACTGCGAAAACTGCAACAACGTGCATGAAACGTTTGAAAGTGCTTGATGAAACGGGCGAGGTGATCACTTTTGATGAAGGATATGGCCAAACAATTGGACCGTGGTTCTAGATATCAAGGTGTGAATTAAAGGCAAGATTCACGATAAATTGATGAGGCACTCAAATGTGAAAGTAGGGGTGGGAAGTGGACCGCCAGTGGAGAAAAAAGAAAAAAATCGTGAAATACACAGGAAATACGAGCCTTTTGCTCTACGCTGCGGAGAAGTTCAAAAGGCCGGCAGGGAGATGAGAGATAATGTGAGCGCGGAGAGCGGTAGAGAAGTCCGAGTAGAGAGAGCATAGCAGATCAACATTGCGACGCAGACAAGATATCGAGCGGTGGGCGGAGCGTGTCATTGGTGGAGCGTGTCAAAGTTCTTAGCGCCTAGCGTCTAAGTAACGCTTTTCGAAGTAGGGAAGTGACGCGACCTCTGCACTTGCGTACCTAGCGCTTCTAGCCACAGTAAAGGCTCATTAAGTGGGTCTGAGCCCGAACTTTGCCTTTAAGAAACACACAAAATCTCACCCACCTGAACGAACATAACATCTTATGAGTAACGGAGCCGATTTCGTCCCCATTTCCTTCACCTAAACATTGGTTTAATCAGAAGTTGAGTTGCTGAGTTGAGTTGCTTTTGTTAAGGTTTTCAGCTAGGATTTCGAATTCTGAGCACATTCTCATCTCTGGAGCTTGTTTTCACCACTTTTTTCCACAACTTGTCTTTACAAACTTGTAAGAGTTCAATAGGAATTCCAGGATTTTCCAGATTCTCGCCTGCCCTACTTTTCATTTTTCCCCAAAATGCCTGGAAAAATTAACATGCTCAGGAGTATCCCCCTCCAATAATCTCTACAAAAAGAACGCGCGTCTCGAGTTCCGCTCAAGCTGTCCACCTTGACCTCAAAAAAATGTGGTTTGAAAAAATATAAAAAAAAAATGGAGAGAATTCATGTCACACCCTGATCCCATATTAAGTATTATAGATTTGACTGACCTCTTTCGCTACTAAATTATCCGATCCAGCACTACACCGTAGTAAGGCATATTTGTCGGAATCATAGAGAAGGCGGACCGTCTGAAGAGATTGTCATTTAACGGAGGGAATAATGGAGAATAAAAATTGCAAAGAATGTTATAAACACAGTGCACAGGTAAAAAGAAGAATACAAAAATGAAGGGAGGAAGCTGGTTGGCTGTCCTCCCTCCCACACGATTTCTGGTGACTATATACACCGTCAAGCATTCTATTTTCTAATAAAACTCCGATGCATGGTGCAGCTAAAATTTAGATTTAAAATGAAATCCACTTTCAATTTTACACACCGTGGACAGTTCGCTGTTGCTTTACAGGGCTCTGAAGGAAGAATGAGAATTGAGCAATTTTTGTCAGTCTATCACTGTAGTAAGACGGATGGTTAGGAGTTTTCCAAAGGCAGTTAGTCTCTAACCATTTGATATTGCCCGCCTCAACTTTTGTTTTAGCAGGTTACTCCCCTTGGAGTTCTTCCTAGCTACCCCACTTAGGACCAAGTTTGAGCGCAATCTTACTGATTATAAGGGGGAAATGAGGTGGAAGCGAGCTTCGAAGGCACAATTCGAGATAAAAACGCGTGTGTATAAGCGTTCAGTTGTGAAGATAGAGATGCGCCCCGCTTTTCAAGCAGCGCCACGTGGCAACCGACAGCGGAGGGTGGGGCTTGCGGACGAAGGTGTGAGTTGCAGGTCGGACGAGCTCCTTGCGCCTTTGTCGCGCACTTTCAAGCGGCAAAAGGGGCGCGACATCAACGCTTGTCCGCCTGTCTACTACCCCGGGATGGAACAGGCGAGCGCGCCTAATCCCGGAGCGTGCCTTTAATAACGAACGTCAAACTCCCTGTTGGGAAACGGAGTCACCCATGAACATAAGTTTGATGCAAAGACGTAGAGTTTGCATGGAGGAAACAAATGTTGCACGAAATGGTCCTAAATGGAGTCAGTGCCAAAACGACGTCATTTTCATTCTTCAGGCACAGCATTACCCTAGTGGAGGAAGCTAAGCAAATTTTTTTCGAGAGTTTGGGGTTTAACAGGAGTTTATATGCATTAGCCAAGGAAGTACTTTGGGACGCTCCGCCATGCATTGGGTACATCGGCTTGCCGTTAACTCAGTCCTTTGAAAATTCGTAAATGGAGGCTCATGACTACTAGATCACTAAGTGACTCAAACTTGATCAAAGTTTCACCACGCTGTGATTGAATCACCCGCTCCAGCGATCCCCTTCCCCCTCAAGACAGCTTTAAGGCTCTCAACTTCCTCCTTCGGATTTGAAGCCGAGCCAGGCGCCGTTCTCTGATCGCTCGTGCTCTAGCCACTAGCAGCAGGATCATGGAGGAAACTTCAAGCACTCCGCAGACTTTTAGGCAGGTCATTATTTTTATCCACTCAAAAAAGAAGACCAGAGTCAATCGTTCTGAGAGGCTTGAGGGCTTGGTTGATTATGGTGCATTCAGTGAAGGATCTGACCACAGACAATGCGTTTGGTTGGAGAGGAAACTCATCACCATTATTTTTCAATATTATGAACAGAGGAAGTAATATGTGAAGCAAAGATTAAAGAAGCGCATGCATAATAAATTATTTTCTTTGGAACATACCTGGAGTGAATAGAAAAAGGAATTAATAAGATCTCCTACATACCTTGGCTTCCCAGTCGAGAAGCGGCTTCGTTTCAGGATAAACCATATAATAACGAAGAATGACGGTAGTGAACGATTCGATATTGTTAGTGTCGTTGACAAGGCTAACGCCATAGATATTACTGGCGATAAAGATCTGTTTGCCCAGGATGTCCATAGTAGGATACGTGACCTAAAAAGCGCAGCCAATGAGTATGTCAATCATTATGTCGTTGTGAGATACTAGAAAATTTAGTATTTCACATGAAAAATGTATTACACTGAAAAATTTGCGAGCTAGCAACATCTTATAGAAGCGGAATTAGGTGTAGGTCAAGAGTACGCAGCCGCAGCTGCAGCGTCGCCGCGCGCGCTGCGTACTGTGGAAGTTACCGTATGTACTCATAAAAGTGCGCAATGATACAGTAATCATAGGCGGATGCTACAAATGAATACAGTACCTTCCACACTGCAAACGCTAAGACCGGCGTCAGACTTTGTGAATCCAGCGAATCGTGAGGTAGCGATGCACCAGCGGCTCTTACGATGTACCAGCGACACGACACTGGATTAAAAGCGGCTACAGTCCCTCTTGTTCATACGTTGACTCTCACCACTTTCTCATTTGCAAGGTCTGACAGCGTCCCAACACGCGAGTGACGTTCTGTAAAACTTTGACCGACTCCCGCGGCCACATCCATTTTCTCAGGCATAGTTGCAACGCGTTCTAATGAAACAGCAACTTCTACTGGTAGCTGTGCTGTTTTGGCCGGATTCAAGTGGTTCTTAGTAATTTCCCAGGCATAGCTGCATGTCCGAGAAGCTAACTATTTCCAGGAATGACAGTGTTGTTATGAATAGATTTTGATACAAGTTAAAATTTATACCGAAACAACTTTTTCAATTTGAAAGGCCCTAATTTGGCTGGAATATTTGGAAACTTGAATTCATGAAAATTCTACTCGACAAAGCCAACATGCTCTATTCAAACAAGGACCGATACGGTGAGGAACTTTGAAAGTTCGCTGAGTCTCATGGGAGCAAGAGGCCATCGGCAGCGTTTCATAAGCACGAGCTGCGCCCGCGCCCTCAAGATGAATTCACTCTCCGACCTGCATTTTCACGAATCAAAAATGATATTTGCTCGAGCTTACATCCACTCTGGAGAAATTTTGATTGTAGAGCTTCAAGTAGTGCAATGAAAGCGTCGTTCTTCTGGCAATACGGTGCGCACATATCACTGTACGTCAGTTGGTCACCTGATGAGTTCTGAAAAAATTTCTATGGTTATGCAATGCTATCAATGAAAGATCGATGGCACACAATCATGCTCTGTAAAAACTATAGGTTTTCCAGGTCATCATCAGCTTCCTTCCATAGCAGAAACCAACCTCTACAGTGATATCGGTGTTGATTTCGTGGATCAAGTCCCAAATCTGTTGCCTGTAGTCGTCCCGTAACAGACTGCCATTATCTCTTGACTCAATCATTATCTGAATAAAATAATAAGAAACTGCAGTTATTTTTCAACTTTTGTCTTGGTTTTTACCCTCAAATTGTCGACAGCACCTAAAGATGCGCCATAATAAAAAATGATAAAGTATTTACCGTTGATCAATCCCTTTTTGGTTGCGGTTACGCATTCTATACTCCATTT